GCTGACTGGTTTATAAGATATATTCTCAGTGGCCATTACATTCTGGATATATGTACATTGTACATAGAAAATCCAACTAAATTTTATCCTTTATTTCGAGGTTCTATAATGTACATATATGTACACGTAAGCTTATGTAAACTGCGACATAAAATATTGTTTTAAGATAGAATATAAAAAAGAACGTTATAATTTTAAAGATGATAATTAATGCAATCATATAAATAATGGATAATACAATGATAGAATATAATTATTGAATATATACTTGATGAACATTATAACATAATTTATCTAATTGTATTTTCTTTGTTAACCCTACAGAACAGATGCCCCCCTACACGCTTTTTCAGGTCAAAGAGAATTTAATATTGTAAAGATTTTACAAAATATAAAGTGGGAAAGGTTCTCAAATAGGCTTTAATGATGTATTATAAACACGACTAGATATATCTCTCACACTTTTTTAATAGAAAAACTCGAAATAAACAATTAAAGAAGTCAGAAAACTAAAGTTTATGCCGGGTTTACAGAGTGGTATGTCCTATTCACAACAATGCTGTTTAACCAATGATGAAGAATGCATGAATTATCCTCATTGTCTAGTTAATAACTGCTCTCTGTTATATTGATATTAATAATTTGCTCCAGAAAAAAAATTGAGGATATGACCAGAGCTGAAAACTTTAGAATGGTGGATATCAAGATTAATGCGTGATCCTCTCTTTTTCATAATACTGAGACTAATCTAATCATGTACTTGAATCCTGAAAAGCTATTAAATTCGCGTATATGATGCCGATAAATTTGAAATTTTGCTCGCCATTTACGATTATATACAGAAATGGGAGGAACTCTCTAATTTAGAAAAACCGGTTTTTGATTTTTTTCTACTATATTCAAGAAAGAACGGTTTAAGAAGAAAAGGACAAAAGTTTGTCCATTGGATACTCAGATTAAGTAATCGGGATTAAGGATATCTCATTTTAAAGTTTTCAGCTCAGAAAATTTACAGTTTTTAATGTAGAAAACGGGGATATCTTCCACATTTTTGTTCATAATAAGGATTTGAAGGGTAATGCTGTGAATCAAACATGTCCGTTTTTAACTGGAGAATCACAAAAACTACACCGACAGTACCTTTACCGTTGAATGCCTGACTTTTTCACCAAGTTTTGTCTAAGTTTCCAGAACTTGTTGAGTTCTCCATATATGGGCATGTGGGCTCATTTAAATAATGCCTGCTCCCGTTTCTTGCTCAGTTGGCTTGAATTATGAGCGTCCGTTCAACTATTCAGTATCATTCGGACTAAAATGACTTATCATGGACAAAGGGTGTCTAAGAATTTACATATTTAAAAAAATTTCTGAAAGTTTAATCACTTTTTATTTTTAAGGATCAAATGTTCTTCCCAATTATTAAGCGTATGTGAGATATACCTAACTTTCTGTTAATAATTTTGAAGATAGTAACTTCAAAATATTCGGTATAGGTTATAGGAAAATGTTTTTTCGCCTTGAAATTGTTTAGTTTTTATTGCATAATAATAACTCTTCTTTTCTCTGAAAAATATTATATTTATTCTAATTGTTTTAAAAATCCACGAAAATTTGACTATAAACTTGTTTATGGTGGCAATACTTAGTTGTAAAGTATAATATTAGTAAACAATTATAAAAAGAGATACACGAAACATAACAAAATAACAGCTGTTCTTATTTTTAATAAGTTGGTCAAATTAGCATGGGATGTTAGAAGAAACTTTTTCTGAGAATTTCAGAACAGTTTTTTTTTTATTATTTGAATAATTTTCAACAATTTTTCTGAACAGTTAAAAACATTATTTTATCATTTTCTAACAACATTTTTTTTTGTAAATTCGGTTATTTAGTTTAACAAACAAAATTTTAAGTTTTTTTCTGACATTGTTTTCCCTGCCACCCACCCACATAAAATCCATCTTGGGTTTCATATCTTGACGAGTTTTCGCGACAGGGAGCCAAGGGGTTTTTACCACGGGGTTCATCTATTGTATTCCACTCAAGGGGTCACAAGGGGTCAGGGGGGGGGAGGGATCAGAGGGGTTAGGTGTTACTGTCAAGACAGCTTGTGCCAAGCAGTAGGCTTGAATTATGTGTATAGAGCATTTAAGCTTGATAAATCTACACAATGTAAGTTATACCAATAATTGTTAGAAAGATAGATTTATGAAAGTCTAAAACATTCTTGACCTTTAATAATTTGTGTAAACTATAAGAAAGTTGATGTGGAAATATTAAAAAAAGCTTTAACTAGTTTTCAGAAAGAAAACTAGGATAACATTGTGAATTGGACTTACAACTTTGAAGTTATGTCGACAGCCCCTTCAGAGGATGAAATTTTTTTTTATAAAACTAAGAATAAAACTTTCCTCCAGGAGAAGGGTAGGGACTGGGAGGAGGGTATTAAAGGAGAAGAGGAGGGTTTATATGAAGATTGAAGAATAAGATTTAAAGAGAAATAATACGGATAATCTAAATTGAACTCCAACCTTGAATATACAAGTGGAGAGTGAGACCACCCAAACATTTACACACAATAATCACAAACAGCATTTACACACAATAATCACACACAAAATTTACTCACAACAATCACTCACAACATTTACAAACAATAATCACATACAACATTTACACACAATGATCACACAACATTTACACACAATGATCACACAACATTTACACACAATAAACACACCCCACATTTACAAACAATAATCACACACAACATTTACAAACAATAATCACACACAACATTTGCACACAATAATCACACAACATTTACAAATAATAATCACACACAATATTTACAAACAATAATCACACACAACATTTACAAACAATAATCACAAACAACATTTACACACAATAATCACACACAACATTTACAAACAATAGTCACACACAACATTTTCACACAATAATCACACAACATTTACACAACATAATCACACACAACATTTACACACAATAATCACACAACATTTACACACAATAATCACACAACATTTAAACACAATAATCACACAACATTTAAAAACAATAATCACAAACAACATTTTCACACAACATTTACAAACAATAATCACACACAACATTTACATACTACGTTTTCACACAATAATCACACAACATTTACAAACAATAATCACACACAACATTTACATACTACGTTTTCACACAATAATTACACAACATTTACAAACAATAATCACACAACATTTACACACAATAATAACATACAAAATTTACACACAAAAATCTCACACAACATTTACACACATTAATAACACACACAATTTACACACAATAATCTCACACAACAGTCACACACAATATTCACACAAATATATTCAAACAACAATCAAACTGCATTTAAAACACAATAATCACCCAACATACTTACACCCCAATCACAAACAAGATTTACACACAATAATCACACAAAACATTTACACACAATAATCATATAATATTTACACGCAATAATCACACAATATTCACACACAATAATCACACACAGCATTTACACATAATAATCATACAATATTTACACTCAACAATCACACAACATTTACACACAATATCGCACACAGCATTTAAACACAATAATCATACAACATTTACACACAATAATCACTTACAACATTTACACGCAATAATCACACACTACATTTACACACAACACTCACACACAACATTTACAAACACCACTTACAAACAATAATCATACAAAATTTACAGACAAAATTTATACACCATTTACACACCATAATCACACGACATTTACACACAACATTTGCACATTATTTACACACAATAATCACACAATATTCACAAACAACGTTTACACACAACATTTACAAAAAAAATTTACACACAACATTCACACACAACATTTATACAAACATGTCATACCAACATTTAAACACAATAATCACATAAACATACTCACACAATAATAACACAACATATACACACAAATCACACAACATTTACACACAACAATCATACACCATAGACACACAATAATCCCACAAACATACTGACACAAACATTTACATAGGATATACAGACAACATAAACATACTCACAATTAATTATCACACAAAATCTACATCTACACACAACAACCAACAAGCACAATATCACACAAAATCTACATCCACACACAACAACCAACAAGCACAATATCACACATCACAAGTATTCCTCACAATAAAAAAATCACTCAGTCCTGCTTTAATTTGTCAAGTACTTTACTCTTTCTATGTCAGCTGTATCATGGCAGGGAGAATGATAAAAATGATACAATTTTAACTGTTTGTTGTATAATTGTACCTAGCTTAACAAAAACAATGACGACCCAAAACCTTCATCGCTCAGTTATACAATTGATCCTATTCTGTGGCTTTTATAAAAGAAAGTTACATTTTTAGATTATTTAAAATAAATCATTCATTCAAATTTTCATATCTTATTTTTGAGATTGCCGCCAGAGGTTTTAAATTTTTTTTAGCTTAAACTAAATTTATAAAATTTGATTTTTCAAATAAATATTTTAAAATCTATGAAAGAAAATTTAGTAATTTTTGGACTTAAAGTTTAAAAGTACCATTAATACTTGAATTTGATTTTATAGGTTATTTGACAAAGCTTTTATAGATAACCTTTAAGATTTAATGTTTTTGCTTAGTGAACCGATTATTTATTAAATATTGATATATATTTAAAATTTTCCAGGGTATTTAGATATTATTTTTAGATTAGCGCTTTTAACGTTTTTGATCCCACTTAGGAACCCACCCAGCCGTATAATCTATAATGCACTCTCTCGTCCCACATTGCTCACTCATCACTTATCATCATTTTTAAATCACTAAACCAATTTTAAAGGTTGAGACTGGTCGATATGTTAACTACATCGTAAATCTAGTAAATCTGATGAAGGCACCTACCTTTCATGTTGGTGTGAGGAGGTGAGTTAAAATCCTGCACTAAATTGATCTTCTGCAGGTGTAACCAATGATCACCGAAACCAACTTGGTCAGACGCTAACACACTGGGCTCTTTCGAGGTCTACTGCTCAACCGAAAACCAAATTGTCGCTGCCCAGACTAGCAGTGAAGAGCTACAATAAGGCCTCTTTTCACGCGGAAAGTTTTATCATGTGTGAATTGTCAAAGTAGGCTGAAGTGTACTGTGTGCCCGAGCTGCACGGAGGACCAACTTTCCCGCATTTTACTCCGCCAACCCGCCTGGTTCAAACCCTTGTACCAGAACGGTTCCTCGCATAGATTGGGCGGACGGTCCGGTACATGCATTAACCACGCCTCCTTGGGCACCGTACTGGATGTGGCGGTAGAGCGACTTTAATCGTCTTTTCGGGAATATGGTCGAATACCCGAAGTTTAGAACCGTAAAAATTGATTGGAAGTTGTTTTGAGAGTCCTGCGCACACAGGTGTGTGCACTTCAACAATTCACATTTGTTTTTATTTTTTGAAATAAAATTTTTAAATGTAATTACAACTTATCTTCTAAAATCTACCATTATAAATCAAAACACAAAAGCATAAATACTGCTAATTAAAATGGAAGAACATTAAAAACTAAAAATTAAAGAAATAGTTGTGAAGAAAATGGACAAAATAACAATATAAAATTAAACGAAAACTGTTGTAAAATGTTTATATGTTTATGCCCAGATGCCCGGATAAGCAACTAAACTTTACAATATCAAATAAAATATCTTTAAATTTTAATTCTTCTCAGAATTTAAATCTACTTTATAATAAAAGTTGGTTTAGATTTGTATCCACACCGAGAATGCTGTATGATCAGTATGTACTCGATTTACTACTCTATGAATGCTGTATGGTTAGTGTGTGCTATATCTACACTATGAATGCTGTATGATCAGTGTGTGCTCTATCTTCTCTAAGAATGCTGTATGATTAGTCTGTGCTCTATCTACTCTATGAATGCTGTATGATTAGTCTGTGCTCTATCTACTCTATGAATGCTGTATGATTAGTCTGTGCTCTATCTACTCTATGAATGCCGTATGATCAGTCTGTGCTCTATATATTCTATGAATGCTGTATGATCAGTCTGTGCTCAATCTTATCGATGAAAGCTGTATGATCAGTCTGTGCTCTATCTTCTCTATGAATGCTGTATGATCAGTGTCTGCTCTATCTTCTCTATGAATGCTGTATGATCAGTGTCTGCTCTATCTTCTCTATGAATGCTGTATGATCAGTGTGTGCTCTATCTACTCTATGAATGCTGTATGATTAGTCTGTGCTCTATCTACTCTATGAATGCTGTATGGTTAGTCTGTACTCTATCTACTCTATGAAAGCTGTATGATTAGTCTGTGCTCTAACTACTCTATGAATGCTGTATGATCAGTCGGCTGTGCTCAATAAATTAGAAAACTTGTCTTGGACAAACTTTTCTTTTGATACTATTCCGTAGAAACTTCTTTAATATTAGACCAAAAATACCAACATATCTATCTATCTATCTATCTAGAGATCTATCTAGCCATCTATCTATATACCAGCCTTTCTAGATATTTTCTATATCACTATCTATCTATCTCTAGTATCTTAAACTGGCTCTAATTGTGTTAAAATTAGACAGATAAGTCGAATTTAACTTTTAACTTTTCTTAGTTAGAAAGTAGAAACTCACTTCACAAATTCTTCAATTTCTTTTAATTGCTGCAAGTTAAAGTAGTTGGAAAATCATTTTTCTTATTCCATATTTTTTACATGAATAAAACATTTTATGCGTAAAAAAATCGGAAAAATACTTTTTTTTCAAAATATGTTTTCAAAATTAATTTTTTATTGATAAAATGAAGGTAGAGGTTAATGATTTACATATATATAAATAAACATTGAGATTTTTTCAAAGATTTGTTATGCAAATATTTACAGCTATCTAATTAAATTAAGTTGCATGTAAGATTGAAAACGTTTACAAATATAACCCTCATTGGAGACCTATAGAGCATGGACAAAAATGTTTCGAATTTCCAATGTGCAATGTGCACTCTAGTATGCCGAGTTTATTAGCGCCTGATCCAATCAGGGTTCAGCTATGTGTTTGTTGTCTATTTTGAACCAATAGAAATTGTATGGCGGTAACATCTATCTTTCTATCTATTTCATCATCCAATTAGAGATGAATCCTTATATCGGCGCTATGGAGTAGAATGTAAAGTGGAAGTGAAGAAACTGGAATGGGAAGGAGAATAAGGAAAATTAAAGGAAGTGGTGTTGAATGGGAAAAGGGAGTAAAGGAAATAAGACCAAGAGTGAAATTTGAATAAGTAACCAAGGAATAAAATATTTGAAGAGAGAGAGAGGGAACATTTCCTCCAGGAGTGGGAAGCAAGAGTAGAGTATATTCTAATAAGTCGAATATATTCTAGTAAGGGTCAAGTGTAGAAGAGAGTGGAAGAGAGTGTAGAAGAGAAAATAAGTATCGGAAGAAGAAGTGATGAATAAGGATGGGAAGGGAGTGGGATGGGAAGACGTAGTGATGAATAAGGAAGGGATGGGACTGGATTCGGAAGAAGAAGTGATGAATAAGGATGAGATGGGACAGGAATCGGAAGAAGAAGTGATGAATAAGTATAGGAAGGGAGTGGAATCGGAAGAAGAAGTAATGAATACGGATGGGATGGGACTGGAATCGGAAGAAGGAGTGAGGAATAAGGATGGGAAGGGTGTGGAATGGGAAGAAGGAGTGATGAATAAGGATGGGAAGCGAGTGGAATGGGAAGAAGGAGTGATAAATAAGGATGGGAAGGGACTAAAATCGGAAGAAGAAGGGATGAATACGGATAGGATGGGACTGGAATCGGAAGAAGAAGTAATGAATAAGGATGGAAAGGAACTGGAATCGGAAGAAGAAATGATGAATAAGGATGGGAAGGGAGTGGAATGGGAAGAAGGAGTGATACATAAGGATGGGAAGGGAGTGGAATCGGAAGAAGAAGTGAGGAATAAGGATGGGAAGGGAATGGAATGGGAAGAAGGAGTAATGAATAAGGATGGGATGGGAGTGGAATGGGAAGAAGGAGTGATGAATACGGATAGGAAGGGAGTGGAATAGAAAGAAGGAGTGATTCATTACACAATAGAGTACAATGTTCTGTGTAAGATTAAACCATTATGATAGTTATATTGTTCCACTGTGGTACTGTTTCAAAGGTTCATATAAAACCACTGTGGAGTAATCACTTCTATGTTCTTTAAAAAGGAGTGGAATGGGAAGGATAGGAAGTAAAATTGGAAGAAGAAGAAGTGATAAATAAGGATGGGAGGTGAATGGTATGGGCAGAAGTAGTGATGAATACGGATAGGAAGGAAGTAGAATGGGAAGAAGAAGTGATAAATAAGGATGGAAGGGGAGTGGAATGGAATGGGAAGAAGTAGGGTGAATTCGGATAGGAAGGGAGTAGAATGGGATGAAGAAGTGATGAATACGGATAGGAAGGGAGTAGAATGGGAAGAAGGAGTGATGAATACGGATAGGAAGGGAGTGGAATGGGAAGAATTAGTGAGGAATAGGAATGGAAAGGGGAGTTGAACTTGATTGGGAAGGATGAGAAAGTTTTATAATGGTTAAGTACGGATTAATGAAGAGATATTTCTGTAAACTAAATCAAGAGATTCGATGATGAGATTTAGAAAAATAAAATAATGGTTAAGTATAAACGCATGCTTGGTTCAGGAATCCCTGAGAGGACCTTGTAACCCTTAATCATATGCTTCCTTGCTTTATCCTGCTTGACAGCTAGTCTATACTCAATATATACAGTGGTCCCCAAAATAATCTGGAACACATCGACGACTCGTTATTCCAAAAATTATGCATTTATAATTATTCTAATGGTCTAAACATAAATATCAGTATTGTAACATCCCGAATAAGAGCTACCCACTGAAAACTCTGGTTCATTTGAAGTACCAACCGACTTTTAAAAAGCTAGATCAGGTAGTACAAACGGGACAAGTACGCTAAATAAACCATCCTTTTTCATAAAAATGAATATGCATCAAAAATGATTCAAATTGTAGGCAAAAAGTGTGTATTGATAATGAAATCCCTAATTACGAAAATTTCTAAACTAAAGAAACACCTTCATATTTTTCGCCATGAAGTTTTAATAACAGGCTTGTTATGTAAACAATAGTTTTAAAAGTCTGCAGTACATTCTAGCTGCAGAGTTTCTAACTGCATTTAGCGTAAAAAAATGATTGTCCAGGAAAATGTAAGGACGTTACATTTATGATTTACAGGTTGTTATTGAAATCTCATCTTTTATGGGTAACCTTGTATACATAGAGTGAAAGTTTATGGTTCTAGGAATTAAAGGGCATGGAAGCATCTTTGGAAATCAACAATTTTATATCATCATATTATTTGATTTAAGAAACAAACAGAAATGTGTTACTGTTGTTAACATGAGTTTCGACCTGTTTTGTTTAACAACGATTGGATCAATTTGTCCATTTTAATGTTCTTTTTCAATAATAGATATTTCAAATATATTTTATTATTGCAAGAATTCATTTCTTCATTGTATCTAAAAATAACAAAAGTATTTGATCAGGGTTGCCTCAGGCAGGATAAACTAACGTACTTTTAGTATTTAATCGTGCATATTTTGATGAAAATATTGATCTTTTTACCTCTAGATTCTCCCGAGGTTAGCAAAGACAAGTCAGGCATGATGTCACAATGCGAAATTTGTCGAGTACATGCCCAATTGATACACGAGAATATAAATATTTTCAATCAATCAAAATGAATTTGGGACCAGATTTAATGAATAGAGAGACAAAACTGAACCGTGTAGATCAAGTTGAACCACTGCTCGCTATGTCTGCACGGTTTAACTACTTCTCGCTTGGTCCACCCCAAGGTTATAATGCAAGGAAAGTTAATTGCAGTTGCGTATACTCTCCGTGCATATTTTAACCAGTTCTGTCTGGGCGGGATTTGTAAACAAGAATGAATGCATCAATATTCGTTTAGTATCTGAGGAGGATTAAATTATTGAATTTTGAAAATTTTGATATTTTTCACATAATAGTTTTTTTTATGACCAGAATATTTCATTGATTTTTTATGTGAATGCCATGTCAGGCTGTGACATCCGTCTTGTGTTTACATTACCGCCCAGAGACAGTACACTGCCGTACAA